ATCATGCCCCACATTTTGACCTTTAATTTGTCACGTAGACACCTCCAGCAAAGATCCAATACTAAACTGGAAGGTGGAGAAAGTAATTGGCTTTTTTCCCTGGCACTGACGTTAATGTTTGCTGTAGCTTCAGATGTGACAACATATGGCAGTGCCTTGAGTTCTCTTATACCTACCACTGCTGGATATTTTAAGGATTATTTGTAAAAGCACTTGACAGCAAAAGTGTGCTACTGGCAGAGTTGCCAGCATGATTGTGGGTTTATCACAAATGCCAAATATCAACAAGAAAATAAGAAAAAAAAACCCATCTTATTTTTATTTAAACAAAGTAGCTTTATAAAGTTTATGACAAGTGAAAACTAATCTAAACCACCACATCTAAAATACGAAGACACTCTCCAAACACACCAATATGTGGTCTTCCCAACTCAAACGGTTTCATGACAAAGAACGTGCACCAGATTTAACAAATGATCTCTATTGGACTGGATAGGGATAGAACACAGACTCCAGAACTGCAGAGCCTTCTCCTGAAAGCTTCAGGCTTTGGAGTGTGCGTCTGAGATCCGGTGAGTCCAGTTCCTCAGATCTGTGTCGGCTCTTAGGATGATGCCAAAGAGGCAGTGATGCACGTGCTGCTTTATAGGACAAAGCCAATTTCTTGAAATTAGCTGGAAATCTCCTAGGCTTTGCAAGTGGGAGATAACGGATGGCATGTTCAAGCTTCTTAATTGCAAAACAGAGATACTCTTCTCTAATGGAGTTGGACTTCTCTTTAAGAGCAGACCCATGTAGATGCTGCTTAGTAATCCTGTCTGGAGGCATCTATAGTTAGCTGAACAAAGCCTGGTGGGGAGGGATGTGCTTGCCTGGACAGCAAGAAAACAAGACTGTCCTTCAGCAGGGAAGCCTGCTCTGGAATGTGATAGCCACTGGCTACTGGGGAAGAAAGTGATTTCAGAAAGAAACCCTCCCCCTTCCTTGTTTTTGTAAGACTACCTAAAAACACCCAACAAAACCTCTTTGCAGTTGTGGTTTAGGCTGGGCCGGACACTAAACGAACAACAAATTTAATTGGTGCCCAACGCGGCATAGTAGCTCATGTAACATAGTTCAATTAGAAGCTTCATGCTGCTAAGAATGATTAAAAATTATCATTACAAGCACTACTTGAAATAGAAACTAGAAACAAAGGTAGGTCAATAAAATAGGAGTACTGCAACTTTTGTTTCTATGAGATTTTTCTTCCCCCGTATTTAGTTTTTCTTTCGGTCCTGTGCCTTGTCCATGCCTGTTGGTGTGACAGAGGAAATAGCGTACTTTCATAGCACAAGCACTTGTGTAACAGTTTCCAGGAGACATTTAGGCTATAGATAACTATATTGCTGATATGTCTTAAGTAGTTACTGTTTGGCAGCATATAACACAAAGAATGAATGGGAGAAGGAACTAGAAATAATACAACACTGATAGTATGAAAAGCACAGGCTGGGATTTAATTGGAAATTGAAGCCTGATCAAAGTGCTTGGCGGTAGGCAGAAGATTCCTAACAAAAAATGTCATGGGCTCTATCATGGCCTGTACTGATGGTGGTACATAACCTCTTCCTTGGCTTGCAAAACAGTGCAAGAAACTGTACGGTGGCTCAGCTTTTCACAGAAATGAGTCTTGACGTAAGCAGGGAGAGGAAAGGAGAATGAAACACTCAGTCCAAAGGAGACACCTGTAACGTCCCAGAACAATGCTCTCCTTGTGCTGGAATCTTTGCCTAGTAGACTTTTTCCAAAGATTTGTTGCCTTTATGTTTTATCTCGTTCCCTGTGCCGAGTTGAGTAACCTAGCATTGGAGGTAGCTGTGCTCCGAGCAGCGGTCGGGCCATGTGACCTGCTGCGATCCTTTCCAAACTAAATTATTCCTTGATTCTGTGAAACTGTTTGGAAACAAGGGTGACAGTTCTGGGTCTGACACATGACATTGAGTCTGACGGCTCCATGTTCCCAGAGACCCATTGGTGGGCGGGCTGGCAGAGGGCTGCAGAAAGGCTCCAAGAGAAGCTGCGTGGACTTTGAGGAGCATGGCTGGTGACCAGCGCTGCAAGGACTTCGAAACCCTGGACTTTCTGAACTGTGGGAATTGAAAGCTAACTGCGAGATTATTCAAAGGTACAATCGCTTACACATGAGCAAGGAAGGTGATTTCTCTCGGTCAGCGTGTAAAGCAGCTCTGGATAGTACAATTTGAATTCTACTTTAGATGGGCAATCTGGATGTTGCTCGGGGCTTCATCTCCAAAAGCAGTCGGAAGCAACCTGCAGAATACCAGCCTAGCTGCTGAAGATCTTCTGTTCAACATGTACACCCATCCCCTCAGACCTGTTTGCCAGCTGGGCTAACAAGAAGCAGTGCTGCACATAAGCGTATGGCATTGTGGAAAGGTCGTTTCAAATGCAGTAAGGTTGGCAAGAGGGAGCCAGGAAGTTCAAATAAAAGGATGATGTGATGAAAGTATGTGAAAAAAAGGACTGCTGCAAGTTCTTCAGTGGGAAAAATAGAGTGATGTTGAAGCTGTTATAGGTTGCTGCTGCCAAAAGATACCAATGTGTTCCTTATTGCTACTCTTTGAAGCAGACAACACTGAATGGAACAAATTTTGGGGGGTAAACACAGCTGGTCAAGGACGAATCAGTGTTGTGATGCAGAGGAGTTCCTGAAATGGCACTGTGGGACTCCGTTCTTTCGTCAGCTCCATGTGATTCATTTGCTGGTTCAACAGGTCGCATTGATCTTCATGTGTCACAACCACAGACCTCAGCCGGTCACTTTCTGGCTTGTGCATTATCAACAGGATTACAATTTTGCAATGGGATCTTAATTTCTCAATTCTGTTGATGTGAGAGCCAAAATCTACGCTCTTTATCCGTTGCATTAACTCTGCAAGGCCAGCAAAAATGAGGAAAAGTAAAAAATAAAAATAAGAAGAAAAATAAGAACAGAAAGAGAATAGATGTGTCTGGTTTCTAGTTCTTTTGCTGACTAAAATTACAATTTTTTGAATGAATAGCATGCCTGCAGCAGAAAATGCCGTGCTCGCTCAACAGTGTCTCCCAAAAGTTGCTATTAGCCACTGCATTAGAGATGGAAAACACCTCCTTACCCTATAGGAAAATGTTGTTTCTGCTATTGGCATGTAGCATCTCAAGACCAGAATATAAAATGTTTGCTTTAGCTACCTGCAGTAAAGCAGTTTGACTGGTCTGTCCAGCAAAATGTTCCTCTCTTCCTGGAAACAGGAGGCAGGTACCCCTCCAGCTTGTTGCCTCTGCAGATGAATTTTAAGGAGATGGCCCATTTTAGAGCCTTTTGTGGAAATCGCCATACCTGTGGAAGGAGGGGAAGGGGTATATCATATGCTGAGTCGTGTTTGCTGAATTGTGCCCTTGTACAATCAAAACCCTTTCAAAAATTGGTGACTTCTTAGGAGAAAAATGCAGCGCGGGATCTTTTCTATTGAACCTTAGGTGGTAGGAGGTTCTTTGTTTAGAAGTTTATATTGCTGTTGTAATATGGGAGCTCAGGTGAGGGATCTGCAGGCCCAGCATTGGGGAGGTATTGGGGTGCTGTGTGGTGGGGGAGTGCCAGTGCTCCCCCAGGTGCCCAAATAGACTGAGTCGTTCTTAAGAATTTAGTGCAAGACTCTTCTATAGTGAAACTGCTGCCTTACATCACTTGTTCAGTGAGGTGGTCCATAATTTAAAATGGACTTTGTATTTCGCGCATATCGTGACTCTATAGAGGCTGTGAGAAGTTCGGCCGTGGTGCACTCAAATAAAACAGAGGAACAGTGCAGTTCAGCAAGTGTTGGGAACCACCAATGTACGTTCTTGTAGCCTGCTGCTTGGGTTTGCTGCTCTTGCTTAGCTGGTTGGGTTTTGTTGGGCTTTTTTGTTTGTGCGTGTGTGTTTTGTTTTGTTTGAGTTTGTTGGGTTTTGTTTGGGTTTATTTTGAAAGATGGTACTTATAAAATGGATTCTTTCAACGTGTCTTTCAGTATAAACCTCCCCACATTTTCTTTGCCTTATCATAAATTTCAAGTGAAAGAAAGTGAAAATTTTAGACTTTGTTACAGGTTTGTTTGCAACATCAATGTTTTTTATTAAGATCTGTTTGTTTCTTGAGAAACTGTGTAGTGTATTCTAACTTCCAGGTTCCGCCAAAGCCTGTTAGAGGATGTACAAACCACAACCTGTAAAATGCTTCTGGTTTTCTGTGTTTTGTACTTTTTCCCACCCATGTTTTCAGACTATCAGGAAAACATGGACTTTTGTGAAGTGGTGCACCACGTGGGGGACTGAGACCTCACACTGTAGTCCTTTTCCATCTTAAGTGTCCCGAGGACCTGTTGGGTGATACAGTACAGCTGATTTGGCTCTGCTCCTGGACTACTTCGCTATTCCAGGAAGAAGTTTTACAGGAATGCTGATCTTATATAAAGCACATGTCTAATTATGTAGGAATCGTTTTAGATTGGAATCTTGCAGGAACATACTGTAATTATCATTTACATCTAAATGAATCCAAGCAGTCTTTTCTCAAATTATAATGTTCTTTTTATTAATGCATTTCCTCCAATTGGCAGTCAGCCCCAGTAATGGAGCGATAGTGTGTAAAATGTGGAACAAATGACATCTCTTTAAGAGAATGCCTGGCTCCCCAAATTTGACAACTTTTAATGGAAAAGGAAAGGAATGATGAAAAGGCAGTGCTGACGAGATGCTAAAGCAATGTGACTCATGAATTTGGAGATACGGGGTTTTCTTCTGAACAGTTCTTTGTGGTTTTTTGGTGATCCTTAGCTGTATTTTAACCTCTATGTATTTTAGAGTTTTCCAAGACCATAACTTGTGACTTTTGAAATGCTTGCAGATCATTGAGTAAAAGATTACATTTACAGAAGATACTGACAAAGCATCTTAAAAGTGTGTCTGTTTAATTTTAGGACAAGGAAACCTGCATGGGTGTCAACAATCAAAGTTACATATGTGAAACGGGCCACTGTTGTGGACAATCCCAGTGTTGCAACTACTACTATGAACTCTGGTGTAAGTCCTTCTGTTTTGTATGGCTTCCCTTCCTAATCTGCATGGCTCTTGTACCATAGTACAGGTCTGGCTTGTGTCCCGTGGGGTTTGGTATTCAGCCCTTGTTATGCATTGCCATCGCATTTCAGTCTAACACAAACCAGAGTTGACCTGATATGGCAAGGGAAATAGGGTTGTTAAAATGGGCATCGCCTGCTTTTTGAGGAGTAATGGGTCATCTTGCCTTATTCATCACTGGAGATCTGTTGTTTGGTCTTCTCACTGATTTGGGTAATACTGAGGGTACTCAAAATACCATTGTATGCAAGTGAGGAAACCAGGCTTGAGGGAGAAATGCCCATACACACAACACTAGAGTTTGACATGCTCAGAGAATGAATTCAGTATCTTTCATCTTACTGTTTTGGTTCTTTGCAAGCATGATGATTTAAATCTGATTTATCTTTTTAAAGCTGTTCTTTCAAGGAGTGGGGCCAGCATGTTTATTCTCTTCAGAACGCGTTGTGTTTGGAGCGCAGATCCTTGGGTGGAGAGGGTCGTGGGGCAAACCTTGCACACTGACAGTGGCTGAATACTGTGGGCTGTGAGGAACACACATTGCCCGTTGCAACCCCTCTCATCTCCTCTTCCCCTAAATCTGGGATTTAAAACTACCCTTGTTTCTAGTGAGTGTTTGAGTGAATATACCTAATTCCCTTTAGACAGCATCAGGCAGGTCAAAGCAGGTCAGCAAAACTGTGATAATGATACACAGAAAAATGGGAAGTTGAAAGGATAGGAAAGTAAGAAATGCTGAACTTTAAAGGCAAGCTTTTAGAGTTGTGCCGATCTGATGGTGTCTCCCTTTCTTGAGGAGGAGCACAAATGGCTGAACATTGATGTTGACGTGCTGTTGTACTGCCAGGAGTCTAGGCTGAGAAGGCGTCTGTGCTCCCAGAATTTGGAAATGTGGAACTCTGAACATTGTATCCCCACATCAGAGACTGGAGATATTTTCTTACCACACCCAATGGTATCTTGTAGCTTTTATGCAACTGTGCTATCTACTTAATCCCCCTGCTCTGCCCACAGTTTCACTTCCTCAGAAGTAGTGTGTGTGTATACATGTATTATACATACAAAGAGTGTCACTTAACCTGCATCCAAGGATAGGAATAGCTGACACTTTATCCTTTAGTCTAGAAACATGCTTTTGCTTTTCAAATTAACCAGTGAAGTGGTTGTAAATTAAACAGGACTCTGACTCCTTCAAGACACACACTGCATCAGACTATGGTGGCTGGCTGTGTTGGTATTAATGGCAGGATTTTAATGTATTGCAGACCTTTTACAGCAGCGTTATTTTCAGAAGTCTGCAAACAGTTCAAGAAACGATTCAGGACCAGGTTGGCAGCTCCAGGGACCCTAGCAGGGTGAGAAACAGGCATGAATGCGTGGCTGTCTTGGACTGCCTGGTTTACATTGTGGTAGTCAGCAACACAAGCAGGACAGCTGGCTGGAATTTGTTCGGACTACGCGGGGATTCGTGGACAAAGCAGAATGGGGAAGGTCAGACCCGGTTTTGGATTTGTGTGGGTGGGAATGTAGAGGAAGAGGCATGTATGCAAGGACTTACAGACTCTGTAGCAAGCAGGATCTAAATTGAGCAACAGCGTGGAGTACAGCTGCACACTGAAGCTTGTTGCACAGTCGCCATGTTTCTCCCATGGACATCTTGAAAGAGAGACTTAATTGAATTGCATACAAACAATACAGTCTGAACAATAGCCCCCTGCCGTTTGAATGGAATGGTTTTACTTTAACTGTCTTTGCGCTCTCAGTATGGCACAGACTTTTATACTTGGCAGTGCCTGGCTGCATCATAAAAGTTCTTGGAAGATAAAACCAGATTTTGTTAGAAGGAAGCAGAATATTTCAGGCTTCTTTCTAGGGCAAGCACACAGGTCATGCCAAGATCATGGAATAAACATATTAGTGGCACACACTGCTGGAGGAAGAGGTTTCTGTGTTGAGATTCACGTCCCTTCTGCGTTGCAGAGAGCATTGTATACCACATGGAGGTGAGGAGAATAATGCAGACATGAGACCTGTTCTTCTAGGCTTTCTGCAAATTCAGCCAAATATCCAACATTGATTTAAAATTGGTAAACGTTTTCAAAGCTTGCTTTGCCATTATGAGTGTTAGAAAAAAGGTTTCTGGGAATGGAAGGGGAGACACAGAGGGGACATGTCCTTTAAATTTAAGGAGACTCATATTCTAGAGCTTGTGACCACAGCTGCAGAACTTACCTGCTGCTCCAGGAATTGTTGAATATCTTTGGTAGGTACGTGTGGTAAGGCACGCTTAAGACCTTGAAGGTGAATAGCAGTGATAGTATATGTAAATAGTCTCGGGCAGTGAATTGATGGTGTGGAGAGCAACAGCTTTACATGCTTGGGAATAGATTAGCTTTTTAAAAGTTATTATTAACTTTTGGTTAATGAACAGTTAAGTTAGCAGCACATTTTAAGTATGGCTTCATGGTTGTTCTGTGTTTTGATTTTAACCAGTCTATGCACGTACTGAAGTAGCTTTTGAGAAGGTTCTGCTCCTCTTGATCTTCTTGGACCACCAGGGCTATTGTGTGCCTGAAAACAGACCTTCTTGCTGGTCCCATTGAATTAAATCCTGGATTTATTTACCACCACAGCTTTGTGGGGAGAAGACGCAGAGGAGGGTGGCGTTTGAAATGGAAAAGAAAACTAGTCTGTCTTTGCTGGATATGCCTTCTGAAATGTGATCCTGTTTTGTGGCCGCTTGGAGTTTTTCCTGTATAAAGGATCTTTTTCCCTGTTTAAGAATTTGAGGGACATTTGTCTTTGAAAATGGCTGATTTCAGCGTTTCTAGACAGCAAGTAAATTTGCAGTAATTATAAACCAGTCCTTGTGGGTAGTGGAATAGGATGCAAAATCAAGGTATTATTTTGTTAAGGGGTGGAGTGGAGGAGTGGAGAACATGATATGCCAAGCAGGTGGACAGCCTGTGTTTAAAATTAGATAACAGCCCAGTCAGATTCCCCACCCATCTCTTATTAAAAAAAAAAAAAAATAGTGCCATGTTGCCAAATAATAAAACTATATCCAGAATTTTATATATAGGTTTAATAGCTATATAATTAGTGCTTAGCTCGAGCTTGGTAGCTGGTAATATGGGGGGAAAAGTGCAGCGTGTGTTTTAATTTTCTTGGAATAGAAGCATAAAAAGTAACAGGGAAGAAGGGGCTTTACTGTCATGTTTCCTCACATAGGGAAAAGTATTTGTTTGGATGGTGTTTGAGCAGGTTCAACATTTTAGCCTAACAATTTCTTTGGGTTCCCCAGAAAGCTCACAGTCCCCAGGGGGGAGATTGTGGTCTTGGGAGAATGGCAGCAGCCACTGGATTTTGCTTACTAGCTGCTTTTATTCAGGTTTGTTATGGTATGATTGTGATTTGTTGGAGTTTTCCAATGTTGGCCTTTGGCCAGGCCTGACAAGTGTCTTACTGTGTAAATGTTCCAAAATACCACTTCTCAAAATACAGGAGAGAAGGTGATTGAGGCATGCAGTTCTCGCATTTTGCAGGTTAAGAATTAAGATTAAGACATCAGGATTTTCCCAAGTTTGAATGCATAATGTGGACTGAAAACCAAATCCAGATCTCCTGACATCCATCCTCGGGTCTCTCCTTGCCTGTTGAGGACCAGTGTGAAATTAGACAATTCCAGAGGTTCTGAACACAGCAAGCAAAGCTGTAGAAGGTGTTTTGCATGGTGTGGTTGGAAGAATAGTATGCTGTGTTTCAGAAATTATGGAACATGGAAACAGGCAGCTGTGTGCGGATCTCAGTTGTACGATTTCAAAGTTAGAGGGCTTACACTGGTCCTGAGTGAATTCTTTAGGTACTCTACAACAAATCAACATTGGCAATGAGTGAGTATTCAGATACTGGATGTGTCTGTTCTGCTTCATTTTGGCTGCTTTAGCAGTGATACTGAGCCCCTCTGTTTCTGAAAGAAAAAAAAAAAAAAAAGATCTTGACTGTTTGGGCCCTAGTGGAAGGGTTGTACACGAAAAAATGTTCTGTTTGCAGGCAGCACAGTTGATGTTTTTGCTGATTTTGAACATTTTGCTCATCTCTGCACGCTTCCCCTTGGAATCTCTAGACAGCTCTTTTCCCCAAAAAGCATGCTGCCAGAATATTTTGGCAAGGATCCGGTTAGTTGCTAAAACTAAAGCAACTGCTGTACCACGTACATGTTTCAGGTCAGCTTTATAACAGGAATTCATTTCTAAGACTTCGCTGCAGTCTTCAAAACCCTCAGTCAAACAACACATCAGTCCCGTGTTTTCTACCTCGCCTCGTGTTACATTAGACTTCAGTATAACCACATCCTTTTTCAGAGGGAGATTTGCCCTGTTCCTCGCCTGTCACCCAGCCTCCTACGTGGCTGTACTTGTTTTCTCTTTCCTAGGTGTATCAAACTTCGCCTTCGGCTGGGTTGACTCCTCAGATGGTGTTTCAGTGATAACCCTGCCATGACAAAGCCTAGCTGAAAGTATAGGACAAACAAAACAGATGTCACAATCTTGCAGGAACTCATGATAAATAGGGTCACTGAGGGAGTTACTTCCTAATTTCCTTGTACGTTTTGTAGCCTAATCCAGACAGCAAAATCATTGAGTCACCATCCCTGGAGGTATTTAGAAGATGTGTAGACACGGTGCTCAGGGACATGGTTTAATGCTGGACTTGGCAACGTTAGGTTAACGATTGGACTCGATGATCTTAAAGGTCTTTTCCAACCTAAACAATTCTGTGATTCTATGATCTTAAGCTTGTTTTGGTGTGGCTCGGTATAATTCATAAATCCAGAGGAAAAGGCAAAGCTGTCTTGCATAGTCTGACTGTGCAGATACTGACTTTTGCCCCATATGGCCTGCTTCCACCTGCTCTGTGTTAAACAGCAAGGAAAGGCGAGA